GATAAAAAAATGTTAAAAAAACAACACCCAATTTAAAATTAATGCAAAATTCTAACCTTTAGGCTTCTTCTTCTGCTATAATTTAGCGAATTCCCTCAACTTCATTTACGAACCCACTGTAACAAAAAACACATGAAATTTTTGTGTACACAAAGAAAAATACCATAGAATTTAATATCAACTTAATACATACTAATTTTTAATAACGGTGCAATTCAATAAGTGGATAAGATTTAAACAATATTAATCTGTAAAAGTTTTGAAATCACAATATAAATTCTAAGCAAAATTTTATATTTACATCACGCGATTCTTAGTGAAGATGAACAGAAAAAATCTATATAACAGACTAAAAAAAAAGTTACGGAGAACATTTGCCTAAAAATTTGCTAACAAACCGAAAATCGATATTTTCATTCTATAAACTGGGAAATGTCCAGAAAACAAGAAATGAAAGTTTAATAAAACTACGTTTTGTAATTAACAACATTCTAAGGTTAATTTAACCAAAACTTCAATAAACACTTCCCAATAAACTAAAACACTGAAGACCATTGTTTTCAATTAAAATGATTGAAACGTTTTGCTGATTTAGTGAACTTTTTTTAGTTCTAGTTAAGTATGTGCCAAATACAAACATATTTTCAAAACAGTTCTTAAATTAAAAAAAAAAAACAGTAACGATAATTGCGATCCCTAATGAGATATAAATCAAAATTGGATTTAATTTTTAAATAATTAACATTAACAAAAGCCTGTTAGAATTCCAAATTATTTCAGCCTAAAAGGCCAGTTTTAAAGAATACGAGTAAATATCTGACGAGATATTAGCATTGGAGTTCTTGTTGAAACAAACAGATTTATTAAGATTTGTACAATACAGTTAGGTACTTCTCCCTTATCATTCATATTTTTATATCAATTTCCAATGAAAGAACTAATATCAACACTAACCCTTTGAATCCTGATGTCCTTTCCTTCCGCGCCTGTACTTGCAGACACCTTCCTCATGGACACTCACAACACTCACCTTTGACTTTAAGCCCGAAACCAAATTATTTTTAACAAAAATAAACCACTTAAACAAACTAATTTACACAGCGCACATGCTCTCCATTAAAACCGACAGAACTCCTTTGCATGCGCAACACGAAAAATGAACAAAAAATTCTCGCCGATGCCATCTCACATATTTTTTGCAGAGTTTTTATTCACCGATGCATCGCATAGGAAAATGAATCTTAATTAAAATACTGCAACATTATTCATTAGCAGAACATAATTTTTGCACTGTGTGGGTGAATAAGAAATTAAGAATTTTACATTTAATTCGTCAAAAACAAATTTGGAAAACTCGAATTAAATACGTATTCGGAAATATTATATTTTTCGACACAACACAGAATTCAAATTTTTTCACCATTTCTGTTAAAATACCCATGTAAAACAGATTCATGTGGGATGTACCAACGGTTAAAATGCGGAAAATTAAACATTAGTCTAGTCTAATAAAATAGAGCTATACTTTAAAAAGTATTTTCAAACTTTAAAGGTATTTTCAAACATATAGAGTGTTCCGTTTAACGTACTTGTACAACAAAGCTGTATGTTTACTTTCGGGGAGTAAGTTAGAAAAGTATTGTAATACAGTCCATTTGGCTACTTTCATGTTTTATCGACGTTTCATAATCAAAACTCCCAGAATATAAAAAAAATTGTCGAAATTTATTTCGGCAGAACTTACCTCGTCCATAAAAAAATACGTCTCTCTGAAAAATTATAAAATTTGATTTTGCGATTTCTTTTTGTGATAAGGATAAGTGATAACCTCTATAAAATAAAAACCAGTGGCGTAATTAACGTGCCTGCAGCAGTTAAAAGAACATTAAACTTGACTGATTTTGTCTCCTCAGCGCAGAGGACAGCTTTGATTAATTCACACTCAATTTTTTTCCCATGAACACTCATAAATTTGAAAAAATTGTAAGATGACGGACACATTTTGATTGACGAATTACCATGCTTCCAATAACCTTAAAATATTTGCAAAATATCACAGCATTCGGTTTTTACAATGTCAAAGTTAAATTGTAAAATATCGTTATACAATTTTGATTTTTTGTGAGGTGACGTCACGGAGATTATCTAATAAAAATTGACAAACAGACAGGCGAAAAGGGGGGACCAATTTTTTCGTATTCAAGGGGTCATGAAACGTCGAGAATACATAAAAGTAGCCAGTCGTCCAATGGACTCCCTTAACTTACGCCAAAAAAAATAAAATTTTACAATTCATCCATCATTCCATAACAAAAGTCGCTAAAGTGATTAAACGATACTCTAAAAAGTCTTAATTGAAGATAAACTCCCTTAATTTAATCTTCGAATTTTATGTTGGTTATGCTTGTAATAGGTTGTATGTACCTAACACCATCACACTATTCTGACACTTTTGACATAAAATAGCACTGTACCGTACACTATACCAAACCAGAAAGAGCATAACTTTTTGAACTCACGAAATTCCTAAGAACTTAATCTAGAATACAATGTATTTGCACTAATATGTCGATCTTGTCAGGTTAAATTTAAAAAATTTGAATTCATTTTGACCGTTCTAAGCAGATCGAACAATTTATGTGCCCTTATAAAATGAAAATCAGAAAATCATCTCTTCATGCAAATAAAATTACAATGTACCTTCTGAAATACACGGTGCGATTCACATTTTTCAGCACCGTAGGTAGGTACATACCATAATAATTATTTAACACGAGAGAATAAATAACACACACAAAAGGAAAACAAAACAAGCAAAGTGTATGTTTGCCGCACTTCATATTTCTTGCTGAATATGAAGTGCCTATTATTATTTACTTACAAATTGTGTTCAGGTTGCGTAAATGGGACAACGGAAGGGTTCTGTCAGAGGTGGACGTAAATTTAGTGGCCATTTGTCTTGGTGATCTACGGTTTCTCGTAGCCATCTGGTCGCTTGGATCGCTATTATCTAATTCATGTTTTACACCTTTGTTCCCCAATCTTTTGTCAACCGTGTTATCCACCTTTTATTGGAACCGAATTAATTACATTCACACAGTGTTTAAATCCCATTTATCTCCATTGGCAGAAGTCCCTAAACTGTTGCTGAGAGAAAAGCTTTCTTTGTAGATAAAATGAGCATATTTCTATCATTAAGTTGGCAGCAAATATTGAAAGTTACCGCCTAGAAGAATATTACAAGTTGGCGTTCTTTAATTACTGGGTTTAACCGGCAATAAAACTCTCTAAAGAAACTAAAAACGAAACGATCCACTTACGGCAGTGTCGTTCGAATTATAAAACGCAGAGAATTTTGTAATTAATTCGACGCCAAAGTTGACAAAAATTTGTTTTCCCATGTTTATGTAGAGTAAAGTAAAACAATTACGAATGAAAATTACGTGCGAACTATTTACATTCCCGTCACGCAAAATCTTAATTAACATAATTAAACGCATTCTTTTAAATTTTTCGTAAAAAATAATTACCTTTTCCCAGCTCCAACAGAACCCTAAGTAAAATGACAATAAATGTGTTTTGAGTTAGTCATTTTCTTTCCTATTTATTATGGTAAATGAAGGTAATGGTCGATTGTCCTTCTGATGCTCCCTTTTAGATCATTAGATCAACATAACGCAGAAAAATCTTAACACGAATGTTCTATAATCCTGAGAATATAGAAACTATACACAAGCCCAGTCACACTGTTAAAAAGTGTGCACAACAGACAATAATATAGAATATAACGAAAGTTAAGTAATGGGACTGTCAATGGTTCTAATTACAGTAAAATTGTTCAATTTAAAACCAATTTAATCACAAAATTAATGTGACACCGAACATGAAACATGTGGGATGTTAACCGATGCCTAGCACATTCCAAACGCAAAGCTACTTAACAAGCGTTACAACCAGGTCAAGTGAGGACTAAATGTGTGAATTTTCTTCGAAGTATAATGTAACCCACACTGTATTATATAGGCAACATTCAAAGTTGTAAGTATATGTAAGTAACCTGATTAAATTATAGATATAGAATCTCTTATTAAAAAAAATCGGTTTAAAATCGTTCAGACAGAATTTGCGTTCTCTGTGAAGGTCACAGCCTACAAAATGAATTGAATCCTTTGTATGTTTTCTCTGAAATGACAGTTTAACGCTACGTCTAAAGCTGCGTCATAGAAAAGTTTAAAAACTTTAATTGCTGATAATTTCATAATTCTAATACTTAAAACAGAGACTCAAAAAGGCAAAACTAAGATAGTTTTTTAGTTTTAACTTTGACATTAACAAATGTGACATGAAACACAGAAAACGTTTATGACTGAGTCGTATTTTCGAAATAGATTGAAGGTATGAATTCTCTATTCAAGCGGCTTTTGATGAATTCCGGAAAGAATTTCTCACCAACATCAACGCCTATGCCCATTTTTGCAACGCATTACAACAATGTGTACCAAAGATTCATCCCTACAAAATAAGGGGGGAAGTAGCAGATCGGAAAATAAGAGAACTCCAGCAAATGTTGGAAATGTCGGACAGGTATTGCAGCAGACACTTACTACTTCCATACGGCATTTGGCACAGCAAATGGAATTATCGTATGGAACGTGTCGAAAAGATTTAGCACTGTTTCCTTATCGAGTAACATGTGTGCGAGAATTACACGAAGCCGATTTTACAGCAAAATATGGATAGATCAGTGGCGGCTCCTCAGAGGAGGCAGGGGAGGCTGAGCCTCCTCTATTTTTTGGAGCTGAGCTTCCTCTAATTTTTTCGATGAAAGAATTTGTATTTTTGTAGAAATTTGTTATTTTTCAGAATATTTTGTTTGATTTTATTTACTTTCATCATATATCAGGTTAAAATGTCGAAAAAATTTATATTTGCGCCCTTACAATCATAATTCACACCTCTCCGCGTTTGGATTCACCCGTAGAGGCTAGCTTCCGATGGAAATGCATCTTACTATGGAAACTGTAACCTTGACGCATGGTGATTCTGCACTGCATTGGCTAAAACGTTGGACGGAACGCCGCTTCAGGCCGCTAGCCTCCGGCTAGTTCATCTCTTTTCAGATCAAGTCGTACGGATAATTTTATCTCTTTCTTATTAATTGGCGCGATCGGGTGAAAACAGGAAAAACATTGAGGTGGTTTCGCACGTTCCCTGTTCAGTGGTGTTTAGGCTTTACGTTGGTAAGGTGTTTTTTGTATCATTTATTTGCGTTTAATTTCTGATCGTTATAAACAACTAGTATTACCGGCATATTAATATTACTTATACATAACGAGAATGACCAACCAAAATAATTCAGTCTCTTGTGCAGATATCGTCGATTATCTATTAAAAAATTAATTTACTACCTTTGATTATGATAAAAAGATAGCTATAAAACAAAAGGGGAGACCAACACCATCACTCCCATTAATGGTAATGATAGGCAGAAAACAAAACAGAGCATTTCATGCAAATAATTATAACAAAACTAAATGGTTAACGGCTTCGGTTTTAAGGAACAAATTATACTGCTGGAATTGTATATTATTCACAAGTGATAAATCTTCCGTTTGGGGCAAAACCGGCTATAATAATTTACAAAATTTATCACGAGCTGTAGAAAGGCATGAAAAATCACAGGAACACATATTTTCTTCGATTAAATTAGAAATGCTTGGTAAGCAAAACATTGCCAATACTTTAGATTCGGCTCATAAGAGGGATATTGAGAACTATAACGAGAAAGTTGTTGAAAATAGGGCAATTTTGAAAAGATTAATCGATGCAATAATTTATCTATCAACGCAAGAGTGTTCTTTTCGTGGGCATGACGAAAAAAATGATTCAGATAATAAGGGAAATTTTAAAGAATTGATCGATTTATTAAAAACCTACGACTCAAAGTTACAAAATTTTTTAAATGAAGCTACAGTTTTTACTGGAACCTCAAAATCAATTCAAAACGATTTAATTGAAAGCATCTGTTTTGTAATTAAAAATAAGACAGAAGAAGAACTGCAAAAAGCCGATTTTTTTTCTTGGGAAATAGATGAAACTACAGATATAACTTGTAAAAGCCAACTATCCGTAATTTTAAGATATGTTACAGATGGCGAACTTGTTGAGAGATTTACTGGGTTCTACGACGTTAGTAGTGGAAGAAATGCTGAATGTTTATTTCAGTTATTAACAAAAGAATTCAATCGGTTTGATCTGAAAAATAAATTAATTGCCCAAACTTATGACGGTGCTGCAGTAATGGCAGGACATTTAAACAGTCTTCAAACTAAAGTAAAAAATATTGCACCCCAAGCCTTATTCACACATTGTTATGCCCATAAACTCAATTTGGTATTAAGCAAAGCTTGTAACGGTATAAAAGACGTCAGAATATTTTTTTCAAACCTGTCAGGATTTTCATCATTTTTTTCAAAATCAAGCAAACGATCAGAAGTTTTAAATTCAATCGTTAAGCATAGGCTGCCAAGTAACGCGCCTACTCGTTGGAATTTTTCAAGCAGAGCTGTGTTTACTATTAATTCACACAGACAAAAATTAATTGAGGTTTTTGATTTTATTTCCGATAGTGAAGAATTTTTAAATGATCATCAAACTTTGAGAGAAGCTTATGGGCTCAAACGGTTACTGCTAGATAAAAATTTTATTTTTTACCTAAAAGTTTTTACAATGATTTTTGAACAAACTGATATAATTTTTCAAATTTTGCAAAACAGATCAACAGATGTTAATTATTCCAAGGATAGACTTAACTCATTAATAAAAAAATTGAAAGATTTTCGTACTAATGAAATTCATTTTAATGACTTATACAATATATTTTTGGACGATGCAAATGAAAACTATACCGAGAATGAACCAGGACCTTCGCAGCACAAAAAACGGAAAACATCATTTAATTTAGAAAGACAAGATTTACATTACAAACAAATTTATGCACAAATTTTGGATATCATTATCGTTCAACTTGAGACCAGGTTTGCTGATATCGGGGCTCTACAGTATTTTGATTTGGTAAATTATGAGAATTTTGGAACGTTTTCGAAAGAATTTCCTAGTAATTTGCTACAAGAACTTACCAAGCAGTATTCGTCTTTTGATCAAATATCTCTGAAAAATGAACTTTCTGTTCTTTATTCGGATACACATCTTCTAGGAGAATCTACGTCAGTTCAAGAAATGGTAGCATTTATTTATAAAAATAATCTAACAGACTGCTTGCCTCAGTTATACAAGCTTTTATGCCTAGTTTTATCAATTCCAGTAACTTCTGCTTCCGTCGAAAGATCTTTTTCAGCTCTTAAGCGAATAAAAACATATTACAGAAATAGAATGTCTCAAGACCGGTTATCAAATGTATCGTTAATTGCAATTGAAAAACGTTTGGTAAGCAAATTAAAAGAGAATAATTCATTTTATGAACATATAATCGATCACTTTGCCAACATGAAAAATCGTAGATTACCACTTTGCTATAAGAAGCTTTAATTGCAGTAGGTAGTGCATAATTTTTTAAACCAAAGAATTTTATTTTTATTTGTTATTTCGTTTTAATCCTACGAATTTATTTTAATTTGTTTTTTTTAAGAATATTTATGTATTTGTTATTTTTTTGAGAATTTACTTTTTATTTTATACTTACCTAGTAAGTGGGATAATAGGGCTGTCGGCGAACCACCCACTAAAATCAAAAAGGTAACGCGCCGCTGCAATACCGCAAGGTGGTGTGGAAACTTGCAAATATGATGTAATACGATTACCACACATAAAGATGTAAAAAGTAGTGCTTTTCAAATTTGAGCCTCCTCTGAAGAAAACTTCACGGGCCGCCACTGGGATAGATTATTATTCAACCGCAGGTAAACGAAATTACTTTGCTCCACATTTAAAGTGAGATTTCTTTACAACTTTTTTTAGTGACTACCAAAGTTGTAGTGGGAATAAATATGTCATGTTTGATACATAACTACAGGGTAACAATTATAATAGTAGGAGGATATTTCCAGAACTATATATTTATAAAAAGAAATTATATAGGTCGTTTTTATTTTATTAACAATTATTATTATTTAAAAACAATATACTATTTCCGGCGATCATTTATTAATGAGGAGATTAATGTACGATATACGTATGGACGAAAATAGTTTATTAATAAGAGCTTAATGCATCATTTCAGGCAACCAGATATACACCTCCCTCACTCAAATGGATTTCTATTTCTATTAATGTCAAAAATTTTCTTAATTGAAATTCAAAATGGAGAATTGTATAGAAATGGATTCTTTAACGCATCCGGAAGTAGAAAAGATAGAAAATGTGACTTCACTAAATTTACGTTCCTCGCGCGTTAGAATATCTCGATTATTAATCGCCTTTATTAACAAAGTTGTTCGTTAAATAGCTGTTAATCATTTGTTCTGTAATCATTAAATTAATGTCAGTGTGTCAAATATATAAAAATTGGTCTAAAGAGTTTAGATAGTACTTCCCTCGCTGCCGTGAACGTGACGACTGCAAGCCTATTATGTCTTTGTTCGTATTACATTTTTGTAATTCTTGATTTAATCAATAACATTAATTGATTCAGTCATTAATTTATTTCAGACACCCTGTATAAGCAAATCTAAAAAATATTAATGCAGTGATAAATCACAGGCATAGACTCATCACACATCATTCTTTACACATTTACGCATTTTTTCAGCAAAATTTTGCGGTGGCGTCATCAAATTTTTAGGATGGATGAGCAAATACAATTTCTTCAAAATTTTACCATGCTTATGATAATTTTAAAACATGTCCAAGATTTCAAAGCATTCGGTTTTGTAGTTCCTGAATAAATCAATAAAATAGATTCACGCATTCATTAATTTTTCACTGTCACCTGTATATGCAAATCCAAAAAATATGAATGGAATGATAAATCACAAGTACAGACTCATCATTTTAGGTAGGATTTATTCGGCAAGCTTTGAGCTGACGTCATCAATTTTTTGGAGGAGTTAAGTAAATATATTTTGATTAAAAATTTATCATGCTTGTCATAACTGTAAACCATCTGCAAGATTTCAAAGCATTCGGTTTTGCAAATTCAAAATTAAATTGTAAAATGTTGTTTCATAATTTTGATTTTTTTTTTTTTCAAAAATCTGGACGTTTCAGGTAAAAACTCAATTCGGAGTCATAAACTCCATGCGTAAGACTATGTTATTTCATACAATTTAAAATCCATTTACTATGTACAATTTTGAACTGACGTCATCACATTAGTGATGGGGATGTTTAGACAAATTTTGGTTAGCGTTTTACCATCTACATGATATTCCTAATATAAGTACAAAATTTCGCAACAATCGATCCAGTACTTTCGGAGATTATCTGTCTAATTAAAATCCGGGACGGCAGACAGACGGACAGACGAACAGACGGACAGACGGACAGACGAACAGACGGACAGACGAACAGACGGACAGACGGACAGACAGACGGAAACGGGAGACCTATTTCTTCGTCTTCTAGGGGTCATGAAAGGCCGAGAAAACCTAAAAGTAGAGAATCGGCCTACGGACTCGATTACAATACTTCCTTTGCTTACGCTCGGGAAGTAAAAAATTGGTCTAAAGAGTTTAGACAGTACTTCCCTCGCTGTCGGAAACTTGACGACTGCATGCCTATTGTGTTTTTTTTCTCATTACATTTTTGTAGTGGGAATTTAAAAAAAAATTGCGATGACGTCATCAACATTTTTGCAAGGACACGTATATCAGTTGGGATAGATGTAGTGTAATACTAAGAATAAAATTATTATATTCTCAAATTTTCGGGAAAATGAATTGGGTCGTTTGAATATTGATTTGTAATAATCAATAAAATAACGAAACAATTTACTCACGTATACCTACGTATCAGAGGCAACTGAAAATCGTGTATGTATAAAATATGTTAATTTAAGATGACAGGCGTAACAGCATACGTGAGAGCCAAACACAGAAACTGTAAACAAAACGACCGTCGGTTTTATTGCTTCGACTTCCGCTTATTATATAAAACATTGGGTTTTATTTTAATTCTTGACGGTGAAATTCACAATTGGTTGATTATAAACATGTCTATTTCACATTCGCGGAATCAAGTGAACGCATAAAACAAATGCAGGTCTGTAATGTTAAAGTCGATGTAAATAAGCGTGCTACCCTTATGTTTCAACCGAGTTTTTCCTTTAACAAATTTTGTGTCTACCAAATTGGGTTGGTTGGGGTGTAATACTAATAATAAATGTTGCCTTTAATTTAATCAATAAAATAAATTGACTTCATTAATTTTTTTGAACCACCTCTTAAGAAAATCTAAAAAATATGAATGGAATGATAAATCACAAGTACAAACTCATCATATTTTTTGCATTTTAGATAGGATTTATTCAGCAAAATTTAAGGGTGACGTCATCAATTTTTTTAGGAGGGATGAACAAATACATTTTGAACAAAAGTTTACCATGCTTATAATAACTTTAAAATATTCCCAAGATTTCAAAGCATTCGGTTTTGTAATTCCTGATTAAATCGATAAAATAAATTCACGCCTTCATTAATTTTTTTGAGTCACCCTGCATATGCAAATCCAAAAATATGAATGGAATGATAAATCACAAGTACAGACTCATCATATTTTGTACATTTTAGATACGATTTATTCGGAAAACTTTTGAGCTGACGTCATCAGTTTTTTGTAGAAGATAACCAAATATATTTTGACTAAAAATTTATTATGCTCTTTATAACCTTAAAACATCTGCAAGATTTCAAAGCATTCGGTTTTGTAGTTCCTGATTAAATCAATAAAATAAATTTACGCATTCATTAATTTTTTTGAGTCACTCTGTATATGCAAATCCAAAAAATATGAATGGAGTGATAAATGACAAGTACAGGCTCATCATATTTTGTACATTTTAGATATGATTTATTCGGCAAACTTTCGAGCTGACGTCATCAAGTTTTTGGAGGGGATAAGCAAATATATTTTGACTAAACATTTATTATGCTCTTTATGACCTTAAAACATCTGCAAGATTTCAGAGCATTCGGTTTTGTAGTTCCTGATTAAATCAATAAAATATATGTACGCATTCATTAATTTTTTTGAGTCACCCTGTATATGCAAATCCAAAAAATATTAATGGAGTGATAGTTCACAAGTACAGACTCATCATATTTTGTACATTTTAGATATGATTTATTCCACAAACTTTTGAGCTGACGTCATCAAGTTTTTGGAGGGGATAAGCAAATATTTTTTGACTAAAGATTTATGATGCTCTTTATAGCCTTAAAACATCTGCAACATTTCA